TTGACAATGTTTTTATTGTTTAAATTCAAAGAAATTGCTTTAATATCATCGGGTTTTTTTATTAGTTAAAAATGACAAAGTACAAGTTTTGAAATTGAGCTTTGTTTTGCTTCAATTTTTAGATTTCTTTTGTACGAAAGAAAGGCTAATAAAAACAAAATTTAAAGAATGCACTCATGCCATCTAAAATGCATTGTTATGTAAATAATAATAGATGTGATATCGCTAACCAAGAAGTAAAGAGCTTCCATAAATATTTTTACAAAATACATTGCAAATGTAGGACAATCACTATAGCACAAAGATTATGGTTGATAGTTGATATAGCTTATGATAAGATTATAGCAGACAGTGAAGGTTAACGATAAGAATTGAACTGCAAAGAAAACTAAGGTATTCATCGGCATATTTTACTTTCATATATAGTTACGTCATAGTCACAATATTCATTGGAGATACAATTTTTATCTTGTATTGTGAATCTTTTGCTAAGCTAGCCGGCATCACGCTTTACAAGCGTCTAGTTTGCTTATATAATCAATTTGTGGTTCCCATGACAACTTCCAGCAATCCAATAAAACACCGAGATATTTCAAGTACTTTTTCTGCTCGTGTGGTAAGAATTTACTTTTTCCTGTCTAAATATTATTTATTAGCTGTATTGAAGATAACAAAGCTTGTTTCCTTCACATTCATTGTTTGTTTGCTGATTCATTGTTTAGTTTTCATTCAAGTTTTTTGAGATATTCAATATATCAAGTTGTTSGAATGTCAATGTCGGTGTCGTCTGCAAAGATATGGAACTTTGGAAACAACAGAAATATCATTTATATACAATGAAAAAATGTGGCCAATATGTTTTCTAAATGCATTGTCCAGCTGTTTAACAATATATCAATTCTTTATATAGTAAACAAAGCCTTCAAAGGTACAGCAAATTCATCCAGTGTTGAAAATATGTCGAGTCAAGGTTTTGCAGTGGATGGAATTATAGAAACATGTTTTACTAGCAAACAGGTACTGTATCATCGCCGCGACAAAACACAATAATCCGTTATTGCAAAAAATGTATGTACAAATGTACAAATTTTATTCTAGCCTATATATATGTCTGCATTCAATTGTTATAGTTGTTTAGTTATGCTCAATGACGCTCAATTGTAATAGAAGTTCATAAGGTATTTTAATTTCAATTCACGACKTCCAAAAACTGAAGCGATTATATGTCACGGTCGCCGACATAAATTACTCAATTCTGATCGGCTGACGAATCGTGAATCTTTCCAGTAATTCGTGCAATTAATTAATATCACGCTTGCTTTTAACTAATTGCACGAATCTATCCAAGAGGTCCTGCGAATAATCTACGCGCGTTATGTTTTCGTTTTCATCATGTTGTGATAGGATAGAATATTTTATGTAGGTATGATATTAAAAGGACATACCAACTTCGTTCTCGAAGAATTAATGAAAAATACCKTTTGTATTTGATGAAAAAGAGTAATGACACTCGTTCTTTGTACTCGTGGTATTATCAATTCTCACTTTCATCAAATACGCGCGGTATTTTTGTTAAATTCTCCTTGAACTGTGGCATTTCCTATAAAATAACATACCAATACATCTTTAAAACTTTACCTACATGCGACCTTAGTAGTCATTTCTAAATGAAAGGACGTTGAGGTCTCGTTTCCATGATTCGTTACTAGTCCCCGGTATTAGCAGTCGTGAACTACCGCCATTTTTGTATGTGGTGTATTTGTTCATCATTCATTATAATTCACAAAATYAGTAACAGACGGATATTGCTAATAACGAACAGCGAGGAAATTACGATATACAAGCTATGATTAACGGAATATTTATTGTCAACAGGAAAATTTTCCATTCATAAAAGTCCAACTAAAACAACCGATGTACGTGAACCAAGTGGTCCTTGTATTGAGAAAGTCCTGCTGTGACGAGAAGTTAAAATTGCGCGTCACAATTGAAGATAAAAACAAGAAAGCTACAGCCTGCTCATCAGTTTCTAGCTCTTCTATCGATAATCGTTTAAACTTTAACTGCCCAATTGTATTTACCTCTCTTGACGTCATACTGACAAGAATGGAGAAGAATTCGACGTTGCAAGTATGCGAAATGCAAGTCTACGATCTCGGTAATTGTAAGAACTATATTTCAAGTACAGGATGCACACACCAAATTCCCCTCTTCTGTAAAGTATGAGATGGCATAGCAACAATAGAATTCGAAGCATGAGGAGAAACTGAAAGATTATTATTATTTTCTGGTATTGGATTGGAATGGGAAAACTCTTATGAAAATGATGAAAACATTTGATTTGTTTTAGAAGTACGGCATGGGAATATTTCCTAGCCGCAAAGAAAAGACTATTGCAAATTATCATTTATAAATGCGGAAATTGATAATGAATCTGTGGATTTGTTTTCGAAGGATGCATGTTACTCGACAGAAATATTTTTTTTTTAATTTTTTTTTCTTCAGACGATTACCATGGTGCTCTTCAAGAAATTTGGTTTCATAAAATACATAAACTGAGCATAACGGGTTTAAAATCTTTGATCAGTAAAAGCAAACCAGCAGTCTCAAGCGTGATGAGAAACTTTGAAGCCTCAATGAACATCGCTGATTTTTATGGACAACGTTTATCGTCATTTCTGAAGGTATATCCATGTAAATTCTGACTTTGCAATACAATCTTATAGTTACGATTTATAATAAAATATTTATAGATTTCTACAAGTGGAAAATATATCTTTTATATGGCATGCAAAGATGCTTGTGAGCTGATGTACAAGGTGGTACCAGATTTTATATTCAGAGAGGAAACAATGCAAGTTCTCTTGAAACCAAAAAGAACAACAGCTCGACCAAATAATTGGAATCGGTATGGTAGATAAAATGAAAGAGCGATGTTAGATTAAAAATTGAAATAATCTCTGCGTTATATTATTATTTTATTATATTATTGCATGATTATTGATTACTATATAAAGCAAGGGTGGTCGAGCGGTGAGAGCGCCGGCCGTTCACCGCTGTGGTGCCCGGGTTCGATTCTAACTTGGGATCATATGTGCCTTGAGTTTGTTTCCGTTCTCTCCCTTGCTTCGAGAGTTTTTTCTCCGATTTCTCCGGTTTTTCCTCCCTCAGCAAAAACGGAACATTTCGATCCTAGTTGTGCTCCGTGATCAGATATGGGTCAGTTGGTTGGCTGCTTTGTGTGTGTGTTGTAACTATGTGATTGTCCTCATAATGATAGCACCCTCGTATACCGCATAACCGACTCGATCACGTGAGCTGCGTCCTTCGTAATTCAGCACTCGGGCTGCGAAGGACGATCAGCTATCAAGCTATCACCAACTGTTATTATTTATTATTTATTAAAATGATGTTTTCGATCTTTCTTGAACTGATTACTATATATTTGATGCTGAACAAGACTCAAAGCCTGCAATCGTGGACATAAATACTTGACAATTTTTCGCTTGAGCATTACAAATACTGTATCGTGTGCATAAACTGAAATATTCCCCTTCCCTCCCCCCCCCCCCCGCTCGTATCAATGTTGCATGGAGGGGTTAATGAATGGACAGGCAATGAAAAGAAAGCCACACAACATTGTATTGGGGGAAGGGGGGGCACGGGTAAGGTTTTATCGACGAATAATGTTAGAAATTTCGTGCCTGCTTAAAAATTGTCAACCGCTTGCTTAATGAATAGGCTGCTTTATTTGAATACATAGTCATGTATAGTTTACAATATGAGCTGCTGTGTTGTATGGGAATTACAACCTCGAGTTGCACGAATGTTGTAAACAGTCTTTTCGTTAAGCACGGAGCGAGTGTTGTAAACAACTTATCAAACGCCAAAACTAATCAACATTACAGCGAGATAAATGACGAAAAATGACGAACATGGTTACAAATGAGTTTAGTAGATTAGCAATGCTTGTAAAAGGCCAATTACCAAACCAAATAGACCTTATTGGAGTAATAGCTCATGAATTTATGAGTTTTATAAAATTAGATATGACCGATTATTTTTCAGAGATTCAAGTCAAATGTCTTCACCTGTATTTCTCCATCGATGTGCATTTTATCGGCTAGAAGCCTATACAGTAACAGAAAGAGGATACGAGCATTTGAGTGTTGGAATAAGGATGGCAAAAGATGGAAAGCTTTTAAGACCAATATCGGGTAGTTTGCTTCAACGCACACTAACAGGTACTACAATCTTGGAAAAATAAGTGTTGGATCATTTTGTTCTTTCGGTGAATTTAATTGAAACTAACTATTAAGGTGGTATGATACCCAAGATAACAATAATTTCAATTTCAAAAGACTTATTCATTTTATTACTTCACATATCATTATCCTTATTGAGAAAAATCATTTGATATCAATTTTAGCACTCGTTGTTGCTATGGTAACCAAGCCACACCCAAAATACATGATTATAAGGCACTTACTGTAACAGCTCTAGCTCTAAAACTATAATTGGAATACAATCCAAACTAAGAATATTCATTGATAATATCTCAATGTATGCAATGAACCTAATATTGTTATATGGTTTACATAAACAAAAAATAAACAAGTAAACAAACAAAAAGCTTATAATTTTAGCCAGCGTCCTTTGATAAATAGCCTTTGATATTACTGAGCATTGTAACAATGTCAAGGTTTGTGAGGTTCATTGCACTACTGCACTATCAATCATTATTCCAGTCTAATTTCATGCAATTTTTAGGCAAAATCAACTGGAAAATAATTTTGTAAATTTACTTTAAAATGGCTGTTTTTGGGGGGTGTCATCATCATCGTTCTGTTTCGCACCGAGTGGTGCATAAGGCCTCTATCGAGATTCTCCAATTCTCTCGATTCGCTGCCACTGCACTCGCTTCCTCCCATGTTTCAAATCCTAGTAGCTCCCTTTCCTTTATAACTGTCCGRCKMCATGTTGTTTYCGGCCTGCCTTTACGTCTTCTTCCCTCAGGGGCCCATGTCAAGGCAATCATCTCGTCGCTGTTCTTATCTTTCCTAAGCATGTGCCCTATCAATTGCCATTTCCGCCTCGTTATTACTTTACTTAGAGGTTCTTTCTCTGCTCGTTTCATTAGTTCTTCTGTGCTAACATGATCTTGCCACTTAATTCCGAGTAAACTTCTTAAACACTTGTTTTGGAACACGTCAATTTCTTTATTATCACTTTTATTCATTTTCCACGTTTCACAGCCGTATAAGAATACTGGCACCACAAGGGTCTTATAGAGCCTGAGCTTAGTTCTTCTTGTGATAATTTTAGATCTCCAAACTTTTCTTAACCTAATAAATGCACCTCTTGCCTTTCAGTGAAATTCTCACTGTTCCTCAATTCTCTCATTCCTCCACCATCTTTGCATACTTTAGCTCCAAGGTAAGTAAACTCCGCTGTTTCTTCAATGACTCTTTCATGTATGGTTATTCCCTGTTGATTCTTTGCATTCATTTTCATTATTTTTGTCTTGTCTATATTCACTTTAAGACCTAATCTTTTGGCTTCCCTGTCAATTTTTGTCGTTTTGTTTTGAAGCTGTTGTCTAGTGTGAGATAGAAGAACTATATCGTCCGCAAAATCTAAATCGTCTAATTTAGATGTGAATTTCCATCTGATGCCACTCTCACCTTGGCCAAATGATCTTTTCATTATCCAGTCTATAACAATCAAGAATAGGAACCCTGACATGTTACATCCCTGTTTGACTCCTGTCTTTACTTTGAACCAACTGTATGTTTCTCCTTGATCTTCAACAGCACATTCAAAATCCTCGTAAAATAGTCTAACCATTTTAGTAATCTTTTCTGGGATTCCATATTTACCCATGATTATCCACATACTCTCTCTATGCACCGAATCAAACGACTTTTCGAAGTCTATAAAATTTAGGTAGAGTGTTGCTTGCCATTCCCTTACTTGTTCGATAATGTTCCTTAATATAAATACGTGCTCTGTTGTCCCTCTTCCTTTACGATAGCCTGCCTGTTCCTTCCTGAGTCTGCAATCCACTCCTTCCCTTATACGGTCAATTATAATTTTTCCAAGTATTTTTGCCACAATAGATAACAACGTTATTCCTCTCCAATTCTTGCAGTTTTTCAAGTTTCCTTTTTTTGGCAATTTRATAATCAGTCCTTTGCTCCACTCCTTAGGAATCTGTTCACGTTTCCATACCTTACACATTAACTGATGTATTTTCTCTGCTGAAAAATCAACATCTGCTTTCAATAGTTCAGCTGTTATCGAATCGACTCCTGGTGACTTTCTATTTTGCCGCTTTTTTTTTCCGACTTCATCTACTGTGGGTTCGTTGGTTGTTATTTCCTGTATTGCTACATCTGTTGTACATTCATCATCTTCTGTTWTTGGGTTTTGGGGGTCATCTCTATTAAGTATTTCTTTGAAGTGTTCAGTCCATCTTGCTTGAATCCCATCCTTGCCGCTAACAAGTTTTCCGTCTTTATCCAAAACTGCTGTACTTGATCTGGGTCTTTCGTTACAGATCGTTTTAGTCAAGCTATATAATGTACTCATGTGCTGGTTTATTGCAGCTTCTTCTGCTTTTCTTRTGATGTTCTCTATCCATTTCCTCTTGTCTGATTTTATAGATTTCTTCACTTCTCTATCTTTTTCGGCATACTTTTTAGTTTTCCTTAGCTGATTCTTTATTCTATCTGATCTTGTGCTTAGTATCTTGCCATTAATTTCTTCTCTTTGRTCAATTAATTTCCACGATTCTTCTCTTATCCAGGGCTTCTTTTTCATCTTYGGTCTTCCTAGTACTTCCTTTGCTGCTTCGGTATATGTGTTTTTAAGTATTTCGAAATCTCTGTTTACTTCGTCACTATCTTCTACTGTAGGTGTTTTATCTCTAAGTACATCATATCTGTTCCTTAAAGTAATGCTAAATGCTTTCAGGACGTCTTCTCTTTCCAGCTCTTCTGTGTTGTATTTCATTCTAGAAATTTTCTTGCTCTGTTGTCGCTTCAGTCTTAAATTGGATTTCTGTGCATACAAGGTAGTGGTCACTTCCGATKTCTGCTGATCTGTATACTCTGGTGTCTTTAACTGAATTTCTGAAGCGTTTATTAATAAGTGTATGATCTATTTGGTTCTTGGTTCTTCTGTCTGGAGATGTCCATGTCGCCTTATGTATATCTTTATGAGGGAATAAAGTACCTGTAATAACAAGTTCATTCATATCACAAA